TCCAGAGCCAATGATCTTCCCTCTTTGATTGCCTCCAAAACCCACATAGTCTCCAGGTTTAAGTTCCAGACTTTGGAACATATGCTTTCTTCCCGTCATGTGTCGAGAGCATCCAGAGTTCAGGTACCGTGACTGATGTTTTAACCTTGCTGCTAAAGATATTTGCTACATATATAATTTTGTCCTTAGGTACCCATATCTTTTTGGGTCCTGGCTTGTTAGTTTTACCAAAATTCTGTTTGAATTTTGGTTTGACAGAATAATCATTACTAGTGTATTTCAGATCATGTGTGTGCCCATAAGTGAAGTGGGATTTTAATGGTGTGCATTTAATTACTAGGTCCATGACTTTCTTAGGTGGAGATACCTTACCTTGGTATCCTATTCCTTTTCTTCCATTTCTGCTAACTCCATAGATCATTGAAGTCATCTTACTTCTATCTATGTTTTTAGCCAGAAACTTCTGAAAGCTGTGATCATATTCTTTTATGATCTTATCAGCATTATTGGGAGCCTTTGAGATTATTTCCTTCTGAGAGTTTTGTAAATCATTTTCTAGTTTTGAAATCTTTTCTTTTAACTCAAAATGTTCTAATCTAAGACTCTCAGTTTCTTCAGAGTCAGAAACAAGCTCCTTTTTCAGGTTCTTGAATTTGACTTTGAGTTGCTGATACCTTTCCAGAATTTCACTCAGACTTTCTCCTAGTTCAGCTTTGGTAAAATTAACAGTAAATTCAGGAAATACCTCTTCTGTGTCTGATTCTAAGTCTGACCCAGATGCTTCGCTGTCTTCTGTCACATTTGCCATAAGAGAAATGTTGGCTCTTTCATCATTTGACTGTGTCTGCGTCAGAAGTATCTGAATCATCCCATGTTTCCATGAGACTTTTCTTCTTCTCCTTGAAGAACTTATTTTTGGGCTTCTCCTTCTGAAGCCTTGGACAATCACTTTTGTAGTGCCTTGTTCATTGCACTTATAACAAATGATGTCTCTGTTGTTTGGCTTTCTGTGACCAGAAGAAGCTTCAGACCTTCTGTGTCCAGAGGAAGGCTCAGACTTTCTGCATCTGGAGGAGGATTCATTCTGATTCCCTGATCTTCTGGAGTTTCTGAATTTTCTTTGCCTCTGCTTCCATAGCTGATTGACCCTTCGGGAGAGAAGAGACAATTTGTCTTCTTCTGATGAGGATCCATCAAAGGTTTCTTCCATAGCCTGCAAAACTTTAGAATCAAGTTTTTTGTTAGATTTTAATGCTAAAGGATTACCTTGCTTCTGAGGCTCGTCATCTTCTAGCTCAATCTCATGACTTCTGAGGGAGCTAACAAGTTCCTCTAGAGATATCTTGTTGAGATCTTTTGCCAACTTGAGAGCAGTGACCATTGGCCTCCATTACTTTGGTAGACTTCTGATAATCTTCTTTACATGATCAGCAGTAGAATACCCTTTGTCAAGAACTCTAAGTCCAACAACTAGAATCTGGAATTTTGAGAACATTGCTTCTATGGATTCACTTTCTTCCATCTTGAAGGCTTCGTATTTCTGAATGAGCGCAAGGGCCTTGGTTTCTTTAATTTGTATGTTGCCTTCATGCGTCATTCTCAGAGAGTCAAACATATTTTTGGTTGTCTCTCTATTTGAGATCTTCTCATACTCTGAATATGAGATGTCACTAAGAAGAATTATTTTGGCCTTATGATGGTTTCTGAAGTCACGCTTTTGTTGGTCAGACATTCTTTTTCTATCTATCTTCTGACCACTTTCATCTACGGGATGCATGTATCTATCAATTACCATATCCCATAAGTCAGCATCATGAGCCAAAAAGAAGCTCTCAATTCTATCTTTCCAGTAGTCAAAATTTTCTCCATCAAAGACTGGAGGTTTGCCGCTGATTCTGTCCTTATCATCATGATAGTCATTCTTGATGTTTTGACTTGGTCACACCATAGTGTTTTTCTAAAGCTTGGATCTTGTACTGACACGGTTAAGTGTATGAGCTCAGAACCAGGCGCTCTGATGCCAATTGAAGAAGTGAAAAACACAAGAGGGAGGGGGGGGGGGGGGAGGGGTTGAATTGAAACTTAAAAATCAAAAGCAATAGACACGATTACTTTTATCCTAGTTCGCTTGATCTCAAACTACTTCAGTCCACCCGCCAAGGTGATTTCGCCTCTCTCTAACGAGGACTTAATTCACTAATCAAACTGATTACAATTCTACTTTGATAACTGCCAAAGTCTTCTTGAGTACAACCACAATCTGGTTTATCTCAAGGAAATTCACTTAATCAAAAGAAGAAATTCACTGTGTACTATATGTTTTTCGTTACAAAAACTGTATCACTACTGTGATGTATTACACGAATTTGGAGTATAGTATGAATATAAATTTTGCATCTTTTTGAGATTGTATAGAGAAGTAGTGTCAAATTGTAAACGATTTACCCTTTGAGCTTGTTTATATAGGCGTGGCAATCTGTCCAAATGAAAACATGATAATGGACACTTAATGCACTTTCCATACTGAGAAGATCCTTGTCTGATTGTAGCCGTTGCAAATGATACTGCCTTAATGGAAATGTAACGCTTTAGAACATAGAAATCTTGCATGCTGTTTTGCTTCAGAACTTGGGAAGTCAGAATCATAAGGTTCTGTTAACGTGTTAGACTTCCGTTCAGAATCAGGATATCTTTCTCTTTAGCGCAAATTTTGATCATCATACTTCAGAACATTCTGATTACTCAGCTTGGGTGCTTCTGTGGCTTAACTTCTGATGCAGTTTCAATCAGAACTTCTGTACAACATAGAACACAAATTTAGATTGCATATTTTTTCTTTGTGTTTGTTATCATCAAAACTCTTATGAGGGTTGTAGAATCAAACTATGTTCTAACAGCAAGCAGATATTACAACATATTACAGAACCAACCATTTTACATGAGTCGATGCATAACACGTATGTATCAACACATACTGGATTAAACTTTTGATTTTTGAAGACAAAACATGTTATGAGTCAATGTATGATGTTATGTATCGATGCATAAAAGTTCAAAAATGTTTTCCAGGGACATCAACATATCATGTGTCGATGCATCAAGTTATGTATCGATGCATAAAAGTTAAAGGTTGCATTCCAGGGGCATCAACATGTTATGTGTCGATGCATGAAGTTATGTATCGATGCACAAAGGTTAAAGGTTGCATTACAGGGACATCAACATGTTATGAGTCGATGCATAGCATGGATGTGTCGACTCATACTGAAGCAGAATCATTTTTATGATTCTTTGCTTAAGTATGTGTCGATGCAAAGCTGTTTGTGTCGACTCATAACAATGTTTTTATGTATAAAACACATTCTAAACTCATTTTAAACATGTTATACTATATTTTTACAATGCACACATGTAAGTAACATTCATTGATTATTTCGCATATATATTTGCTATCATTCAAAACCAATTATATGAAGAGGTTGCACACATTATTCACTATCGAAGCCTGCTATGCATCACACCTCAATACCATCGCCTCCTCCAATGAAGGAAGCCCCCTTTGAACCAGAATTTCTAGAGGAAACATCCACTACAACCACACCTTTCTTCTTCACCCTTTCCTCCAACACAGAAACAAGGAACATCTGAGAACTAGAATAAACTTTAACCTCTTCTTGGATGAAGCCCAAAGAGGATATGAGATCCTTCACGCGGCCAAACTGATTATATACTTGAGCCAATATGTCTTATCAAGAATCACTGTACCCTTCCTTTTTCTAGTTTTCAACCTCCTTGTTCATCCTTCCCTAGGTATATTTAAAGTTATGTTTGGATATGCGTTGGACACGTGCGTTTAGCCACAAACGTGCGTCTAGCCAAAAGCTACAACTTCTCTTTTTTCACGGTAGAAAGCTCTTCAAACATGCATCCAGACTTCCAAACATTTATCTAAACATACACTTATCCTAAATTTAAAATCGCTTATTTTGTCAATTTTTTTATTATTTAACATATAAAGAGAAATAGATTGAATGGGATGATAAATTATTAAAAGTATTGTATAATATAATAAAGAGTTAAATATACGACGTCCTATTATTAATAGGGAGAGTTTTGTTTTCCTCCTTTAAAATATTTTTTTTTATGTCCCCTAGAAATAAAGATTCCTTTCGTAGAATCCTCTATTCCATATTTAATAATTCTTTAATTTTTTATATATATTATATATTTTTTACTTTATATATTAATTTTTTTAACGTTTTTTAAAATTATTTTGTTTAATTTTCTTTTTCATTTTAAATTATATTTTAGCCTTAAAGACCTACAATGTCACTTCCAAGTAAGCCCAGTACTTGTTATTTAATCTTTTGTGCAAAAGAACATTATATACATATTGAATTATCAAATTTCGATGTAGGACTAATTTTATTGCATATCATGCTCTGTTTTAATGTGTTCAACAATGAGGTTGATAAAAAATGATTAAGTCTTGCAATCAGTTTCAACCAACAGAAGGATAATTAAACAAAAACTTAAGCTCCCAGTACCGAAAACTTTAACTGTTAATTTCATACTTCAACTGGTGCAAGTTCTTCACCCTAAACCAATTTGACACAACAACCTTAAACACAACAAAAAGACTAAGATACGGTGGACAATAGAAGCTTCTTCCATCACCAACATCACAAAAATAAAAGAACACTAGGTGCAATTTCATATATTAGGAGAGTTATGTAATATAATACAACATATATTCCTCTCTGCCATTAGTTGCGAATGCATCCTTATAATCAATTTTCTGATCCTAACAGCATATTATTTTAATAGCTGTGAAATTATATAATAGGAGAGTTATGTAATATAATACAACATATATTATGGAATTGAATCTTGTCAAATGACCAACAAATTTAGTCCAAAACCTCCTCCCTTTTCGAAATATGCATGGAGTGCTACGTGTTTCTGAAATAAGACTCGATTGTTGTTGTTGCAAATTCACGTCACTTAAATGACAAGTCTACTTTTTCTCTTAGAGGCAAATCCAGCTTGAGCAACTTAGTAAACTACAAAACAAGTAAAAAAATGTTCAGAAATCAGTCTTGTGAACCGCAGATCGAGAAAATAATAGTTTGTTCAAATTTCGCTATCTGATATAGCCGCTATTCGACAACACTATCGAAAATGTAACAAATGAGGTACATTCAGAAACACACTTGAGATGTCTTGAGTTCCAACTCGTCCCACTCCAAATATGGATTGCTTCCTTCCACTATTCCTGTTCCAGCATATATCAAAGCACCTAACTCCTACATAAAAAAACTAGATCATGTCGCGATTCATCGTAAAAAGAGTCTTGTCTATATCTAGAATATGATCGGTCTATAGCTAACCTTTTCCACCAATGCTGACCTTATGCCAACGGCAAACTCGCTTTCTCCTCCTCCAAACCAACCAACCGGTCCAGCATACATTCCTCGATCAAACACTTCTGCGCACCGTGTTTGAAAGTAAGAACAGTTTACCAAAGCAAATCGAATCGAAATGGATGTACCTGTTTCTGCAATTAAAAGCTGTGCCTCTTCTGTTGGAAATCCACAAACCGCAGGACTTGGGTGGAGCGATGACAAAATTTCAAACTAGAAAAATAAAAACGAAAACTTAGTTATATGGTTGAAGTTAATCGAGTTATTTCATTTGTAAAGATTGAAAAGTTCGAGCCTCTTTGGTTACCTCATCCTCTTCGCTTCTTAACCTGCCAGTTAGTCGAGCAAATAAATGTTGGATCCTCGGTAGTTTCCTGATCACTTTCTTTGGCTTGATTATAACCTTTTCGCAGACTGCCTGTGTCGATAAAGAATTCATCCTCGTGTTAACCTTAGAAGCTCTAAAATGATCGTAAGAAGATATTACAAAAATAAACATACCTCCAATTTTCTTATTATGGATTCTCTTACTATAGTAAATTCATTGTCGTCCTTCGGACTGTATGACCAAAGTAAAACAGAAAACGATTAGAAAAAGCACAAGCATCGGGGACGCGCTATTGTAGGTCAAACAATTAAGAAAAAGTTTTTTGATTCAAGTTGTAAGCAACAAGGTAAACCTGGTAAGTAGGTCAAGTTCAATTTGATGGTCTAGTGCTAGTGACGATCCTCTAGCACGGGTTCCGGCCAAAGCCTCACTAGTAATATGAAGCCGTTTTCTGTGAAATAGTTGCTCTGGCTATTGATCAAGTTCATAAAAATTAAAATGGATAAACTTTGACGAAATTTCAGCATATCTTGAAATAGTATGTGATAAAAATCTTGCTAGTCGCATGCATGGCATACTTACTGTGTTTCCTATAAACGCCGGTGCATTAGGCGGCTGAATGACAAACTGGTAAGCATTTTCACCTTCACCCTACAATAGTTTTGATTGAGACATGAGAAACCTGCTACTACGGCCCTATTTCGATTAACAACTTCGTTAATCACTTCTAGCATAAGCGTTAATCATGCAAGTGCTTATGTATATGATATTTCTATAACAAAAGATAAAGTAAAGTTCAACTTTTTCGTATAAGCTATAAGTTGTTTTTATAAACTATTCTGAAGAGCTTATAGAAATAAGTTGAATACCTTTAAGCAAGCTAACCACGTTAGAGGATCAATATTAGTAGTCGGCACTACTCTAGTGCTCCGAGCTAGCACCACCTGAGTTTCCAATATGGAAGAAGAAATTGAGCTTTAAAATGGATTCTTGCAACACAAGGAACGATACAAAAACATTAAAGACAAAAGCAAGAGAGAAAATATTTGGACAGAACAAATCAGCGTGATTGAGATGTAGTCTACCTTGGTCAGCGAGGAATCGTTTCGCTCTATCATCTGCAGAGCTCTATTAACACCAAGATCCCAATCTACTTTACTAGGAATGTTATGGCTGCTTAATATCAATGTCGGAGGAGCTTGCTTAGGAAACTTCACAATGGAAGAAGAAATCTGCACCACAAAGATCGACTTTTCGTCATAAAACCAAAGCACATTCAATCAAAATCAATTTTTTCCACTTCAGAACCACGCAAACAAGAATCTATCTACACTAACATTGCAAAGTGTTTCTTGAAGTTCTGCGATAGCGTTTTCCCATGACCAAGAAAGAGCGTTATCCCAAGCAATAGTAGTGGTAAGCATTGATCCTCCTTCAAGCTCATTAAATTCAACCTGTCAATTTTTTTCCGGCTAGGTATCTCTTGCTGTCAATGCTATAAATACTAACACAGTAACATACACGGAATAGCAAATTGGTTTTTTTGGAAAGAAAGAACACAATGTATGCACCTGAGGAATCATGAAATAGAAAGAGCCAAAGTCCAGCCACTCTGATGACACCTTAGGTTTTGCATTGAAACGGATAGCTCCATATGCGCGAATCAAAGGACACTTCTCAGAAAGAAATCTTCATAGTAAAAAATTTCAAAGCGAAAATCAAATTGTAGATGTGGCTGGCATATAAGGCAGTGTGCAGAGAATTTTAACAGTACAACAACAACAACCAATCCTTATCTCACTAACTGAGGATCGACTACACGGATCGACTTTCGCCATAATGTTATATCCAGGAATATGCTTCTATCCAAATCGTTAATCTCGATATCTTTCTTAATAAATTCTTAGTTTTTTTAGGTCTTCCTCCACCTCTAGTTGTTTGACTTCTCTCCATCTGTCTACTCTCTTTACCACATAATCAAGAGGTCTTCTCTCTACAAGCTCAAACCACCTAGACTTATTTTTTACAATCTTATACTATAGGTGCTACCGAACACTCTTTCTAATATTATCATTTTGAATCTTATCTTGTCTAATCTAATCCTGCTTGTGTTAACTTTTCTATGTATAACCGGCCTCAAACCCGGATTAAAGGAGAGAGTAGTGTTAGACAGTCGTCAGTCAACGTAAAACTTTGTTGAATCTCTATGATATGGATCAACTACGAAACTTTACAAAATTTGAAGAGTAAAGTCAAATTACCTCCTTATTGATATCCAATCCCAATAGGAAAAAGCCTGTGGCTGAGAAAAGAAAACGGCAGAACCAACACCAGCAACACTGATCAACTTTCCACTGCAAGATTTCTGTTCCCTGCCAGAGAAATAGCATCTAGGAAGCAAAAGATGACTTTGGGAATGAAGCCAATCAATAGCTTCAACTTGCTCTTCAATAGGAACTTCCACTCTCATTATCCCAGATGATGTACAAAATGGAGAATCTTCTTTCAGCTCTGAAATGGCCATTTTAAGACTGTACATAGCCATTGCAGCTGATGATACCTTATCCAATCTTCGTGTTTCTATAGTCCTAACCGATTCTCTTGTTCGTTCGCTATTTTCTCCTTCTGTGCAACCATTCATTGAAAGGTAGCATCCCTTACACATTGGTCTCTGAATGAACAAATCAAAACATACCAAAATATAGAATCAAAATTTAGCTATTCAGAGTTTCATAGTTATATTCCAATTCACATTTCTTAAATCCAAATAGCACCTTAAAGAAATAATTATAACACCTAAATTAGCAGCAAAAATAGTACAAAACAACTGAACAAAAAAACTTGTGAGAGTGTTTTGCATAACATACACGGTGGCTGTGGATAAAATACAAAGATTGTTGATGATGATGATGTTGTTGTTGTCTGTTTGAAACATGTCGTTCAAGGATGTTGTAGCAGTTTGTGAGCCACTTGTGAGTAGTGGCGGTTGACATGAGTTTATGAGTAAGGGAAGAACATGAAGGAGAAGGAAAATGGTGAAGTTGTGTTTGTAATGTGGTGCTGTTGTTGTTTCAAAGTGATATGGTTTGGTGGGTCCATATTGGTGTTTGCTCTTGATATGTAATAGGCTGTCACATTTCTAAGTTCACACTGTCCTTTTCTATTAGTTATTTTGATTTTCCAAGAGTATTTATTTATTTTTAAAATATTTTTTTAATTAATTTAATGTACTCCTATTCTATAAAATTGTTTTTTTTTTTTTTTGAAATTTTGGTATCCTTGCGACCGACTAAATCAAGAAGGACCAATCCCACCATCCACTAGCAGAGATTCCGTTTAAAGACAGAACAAATTTCCGTATGGACTGATCCAACACAAGAATTATTAGTGTCGCAAAGTTTTAAAAAAAAAAATTTGAAATGCGACATAAGAACATGTAGCGGTAAAGATTTGAGATTAAGTCATCAATTGACTTAACTCAACACAATGAAGTCGACACCGCACTTTATTGTTTCCAAAGGAAAATGGAAAAAAAAAACGAACAAAATCCACAATGAAATATAAGATCAGAGATTGAGGTACGGAGACCGATTTTACAAAGGCAAGGTGTTAGCACCCTAAGTATCTGCAGTAATCCGCAGGATCCACTTTGTCTGTTTTCTTTTAAAAGGTGTGTTATCTAAAGGCTTACTTGCTGAAAGAATGAATGAGTATTTGCAAATAAAAGAAAATGTTTTTTTTAACTATTTTTGTTCGCCTTGAGTCGTAAGACTTAGTGCCTATGTACTACCTTGTGCAATGAGAAAGTCAGAGCATCGTAGTTCGACTAGAAAAGACTTGTTTGTTGATTGATTTTAAACGAAGAGACAAGTCATCATTTTTAAGAGAGAAATCTCAACTAACGCCCACAAGGTGTGGGAAATATGGACCCTGCGTCAGCATGATTGAGGATTTGAGAACGCCTCTAGTACTCAAGTGGAAAAGTCGACACCTTTATGACCATGGGGATAGGAGAATGTTGCTCGACTATAAATGAATCATGTCTAATCTTGAAAAACAGTTTTAAAGGGTAAAGGTGCTAGAGCGTACAAAAAAGTTTGAATGAGTTGAAGTGTTTTTGTTAATTTTGAAAAAAATATCGAAGTATGATTAAATGAATTGAAGTTTGTTTAAAGAAAGGAAGTTTTAAAAGAAAAGGCACTCGACAAAGTCGAGGTTTATTATGAAAGCGGTTCGAGTTTGTAAACAAAAAAGATTTTGAAAAAGATGAGAAGGTTTTGAAAATTAACGAATGAGAGAAGATGAAGAGAGTATCCTATGTACATGAGGATAAAAGATAAGGTAAAAGTTAGGAAAAAGAACCGTCTAACCAACAAGAAGCCAACAATTGACATAATGAGCCAATGTAGAATTCTCATCCTTTGGATTTAAACCAAACAAGCAAAGGTAATAAACCTCTTAAAAATATCAAGCTTCAATTGCATTAAGTCTTCACAAAAATTGGACAGAGTAACGGCTGTATATAGATGAATTCTCGATCACAGACAAAGTATGTAATCATAATAACCTGCACACAAAGCAAACATACAACCCAATATCTTGGGGTAAACCCTAAGAACTCCAGACAAAATAACAGTTGAAGTCACAAGGTTCCAAAGGTGGTCAAGGTCTCTACTCCTAAGTCCAAGAAGCCCATAACTTCAAAATGCAGAGGATAGTAACCATGTAGTCCAAGTAGCATTAAAGTTTCTTTATGGTTCAAGTTGATTATTAAGTATCTTCAAAAAGAAAATAAAAAGCTCAAATGAGCAAAATAAAAAAAATGACATAAAAATAAATGCTCAAATGAGCAAAGATGAAAATAGCATGAAATGTAAATACTAAAATAAATATGCTTAAGTAAAAAGCATAAAGTAAAAACATAAAATAAAGTCAATTGTTAGAAATTAGTGGTTATTTGAATGATCATCTTGAAACTTGCATTAGAAACTCATTATAAGATTAATAAAATAAAAGCCTCTCAACAACAAGTTTCATTTGTTTTTTGTCAAGTATATCATTCATTTAAAATTCCCAAGGCAACAATAAATTATCAACGATATTTAAGTGATTCACTTTGACCAAAGTTTATGAAGATTTATTAGAGGATTGATAAGACCAAAGCCTCCTAACAATAAATCTGAAGGTTATTGGATCAAAGGATTCAAATTAACATACTTGGGCTTGCAAACATAATTTTGGGCCACAAATGATCATTTCTCGAATCGGGACAAAATTTAGCGCTATGTTAAGCAATCATAAGTGGACTTATATAGAAGTCGCACCTATTTTGAGGTCGGTCAATAAAGTATATGCATCCATACTTTGATACGGTGGGAGAACTGACTTGGGTGTTTTGTGTTTTATCACAAATGTTGCGGTTAGCAAGAGTCGCCACCGACTTTTCTTTTATCCAAAAGGAAAGGTGAAAAAGCACAGGAAAGACCTTTGAGATTGTTTCTTGAGTTCAGGGGGTAGATTATAAAAACGGAAGGTATTAGCACCCTTTTCATCCATGGTTTTCCATGGGCTCTTAGTTACTTACTAGATCATTTGCTTTTGTTTGAAAATGTGCTTTGTGTGGTTTTTTGAAAGTATTTTGTAAAAGATGTCATTGTTTAGGCAAACTTTATAATGATTCTCGTTAGTAAGAATGTATACAAAGGTGTTGATCTTTTGAAAATGTTTTCAAGTTTGAAATGTGTTTTGAAAGTGTAGGTGTTTGTTTTGAAAATATCAACGATGCTTTGTTTTAAAATTGAGCAAGTAACTAGGAACATTCTACCTACCCAAAAGTCTTTCATGTTTATTTTCTCTTTCCTTTGACATTGTTATCTTACCGTTGATTTGGTAAGTAACCCTATCTTTGGATATAAAAGGGACGGGCGTGGGTCATCGTATAACCATGATTAGCAATATTGCAAGATATCTTATCATTTTTCTTTAGGGACTAAGATCATTTTAAAAGGCAACATAGATAGCGTCATCGAGGGACTATGATCTTGTATTTTGCTTGTCTTTGCTAAGATACCTCACATGCGTAATATGGTCATTTTGTAAGGCAACCAAGTGGATTTACCCTAGGGGTGTATGTGTGTAAGTGTATTGATTTACATACTTGATTTGTCTTTGATTAGGGTTTTCTATTGATTGGTTTTAGTCTTTCCATACAAAACCCTAATTACTAGCATTTGTATATAAAGCGATAAATTATGCTATTACATCATTTAGGAGAGGGGGTATACAAATTACAAATGGGGAATTTTGCAAGAATTTAAATTTAAATAAATATTACAACCATATTGAATTTTGAATAATGTACAAAAATAAAGATAAGAATGCAAGAATGTAAAATGTAAAGAAATATGATTTTTGTTTGATCTCTTATGAAAAGGAATTTCTAACCTAATTTGAAGAAGATGATTAATTAAAAATGAATAAAATTAAGTTTAAACTAATTAAAGAAGAAATTAAGTTAAAAATGTTTTTTTAGGTTTTTTTATGAAAAAAAAAGGTTTTAAGTTGAATAATAATAAAAAATAGAAATTAAATAATTAAAAGAAACCTAAATTCTAAGTTAATTTTAATTAAGAAAATAAAATAATTATTAAACCTAAGTCTAAATATTTAATTATTTAAAAGAGAAATTAATTTGTTAAAAGAAAAATGTTTTTTAGTCCTTTTTTTGTTTTTATAAAGAAAATAAAATAAATAAGTGTAAATAATAATAAAAATATTTTTGGATTTTTTTTACTAATGAAAATAAAAATAATATTAATAATAATAACAATAAAAAATAGTATTAATAATAATAATAAATAAAAGATAAAAAAGTAAAAAATAAAATAAAATAAAATAAAAACAAGTCAGGGAGGTTGATAAGTGAAACAGGGGATATTGTGAGAAAAATAAGGTCAGGCCCAAAGGATGGCCCAGGCGCTGCAAAAACACAAAAAAAAAATGTCAAAAAGTGGGGGAAATGGAAAAAGGTCACGCTGGGGCTTGAACCCAGAACCTCATAGTGACAGACGCGCGCTTTAACCACTAGGGTGGTGATACATCCGTTAACTTATGTTAAACCATAAATATATAACACAAATCCTGCCCTAAATACACTTCATCTTCAACCTCCAGCCAGAAGCCCTGCAACTTGCTCATTTCTCAATCATTTGCAAAAATGTTAACATGAAAATTGCTCAATTCTTTCATATGAATCCAACCATATAAATATCATGAACTATAAATCAAAGATGAATGAGAATTTTTGAAAGTACCAAATTCTAACCTAAATATTTCAGAAAGTTCAAACTCAAAATTCTCCTAGCTCAATCAAAATAAATGAAATCTATGGACATATATAGTTTCAGGGAAATGATGTCTACATTTTATCTTCACAAATACAAGCCTAACAATGCCTAAATATGAAGATAGAAGTTCAAGAAAAATACCTCAAAACTGGAAATCGTGAAATGCAAATGAGCTTGATTCAAGATGCTGCAATGATCAGGTTAGCTTCCTCAAGTTCCCAGGAAGCTAATGTAATGGTTTGCTTGAGCAATGGATGGCTAGAATGGTCTTGAGAGTCAAGTTACAGACCTCTGTTTTTTGTTATGGAGGATGGTGATGGAGATGTTACATTTCTAAATCAAGGATAAGGATGGACTATATTTGACGTAAGGAAGCTTTAGGAATGAATTTGAGGGAAAACGCACGAGGGAAATGAGAGATACAAGTTTAAGGTCAGAACTGTGTATCAATGGAGTTTTTTGTGTAATTTCTGGCTAGAGGGAGTTTGGGAGTGTTTCAGGTTGCTTGAGCTCGTGTTCTAGCTCACAAATAGTGACTATTTATAAGCAACAAGTTTGGAGACTTGTTGTTGATCAAAATTCAAATTTACATGTTTAAGCTCAACATGTGATTTTTTGATAAAACAAGTTTTCATGCCTTGTACTTG